AAAAAAAAATTTATAATTAAATTACTAAAACTTAACATTAACATTAAAAAGGAAACTTCTCATTTTCATTTAGTTTAACTTGTAGTAAAATAAAAAAATAAATAATAAATTAAATAAATAAATTATGAAAATAAAAATTAGTAAAAACAATAGAGACAGAAAAAAACTAATAAAAATGGCAAACTAAATTACTAAAATAAAAAAGGAAACGTAATTTCTCATTTTCATTTAGTTTAACTTGATGTACTAAAATAAAATAATAAATACAATTCTAAAAATAAAAATAAGTAAAAACAATATAGACACATTAGAAAAAAAACAATAACTAATAAAAATGGCAAAAACAAACTAAATTACTAAAAGGTTCATTCTTTGTATTTATTTTACAAAGCAACATTTCCTATTTTCATTTAGTTGAACTATATACATATACTAAAAATGGCAAAAAAGCGCAAACGAAATGACTAAAAATTAATCTAAAATGAGAAAGGAAAAAAGCGCTCCTAAGCACGGTCAGCGCTGTGTTACCCAGCGGTCGGTGTGTCTCCCTCCAGCGTGGACGCAGTGTTGGAGCCGTTGGTCAGCGTTCCCTGCGCCGGCATGACCAGAGACAGCATGACACTGGTCTTACTGGTGCTCTGATGGTTCGAGTACGGCACAGACACCGGGTAGATCCGTCCTCCTGCACACACACATCAATGCTAATTATGATGCAGAATATAAACTCGGACTGGACGAGACGTGCTCAGAGTCTGTGTGATGATGCTGATTAAAACACACACTGATTGTGTATTAATGCACTGGTTTTGAAAGCCTACACTAATATAATATGTGTAGGAGGAATTGTTCATGCATATGGTTATTATTTTGTAAATGTAACTATTAAAATACAGTTACATTCATTTTACCATGGTTAAGAGTTGTCGACCAATATAGATTTTCTGATGCCGATGTCAATGGCAATATCATAAGGAGCTGATTTATATGATATCACACTATTTAAAAAATTATAAAATAAGATATGCTGCAAATAAATTGATAATTATTTGACATAAAATGTACCAAATTTGAAAATGAATAAATATGAAAAACGAATTTGATCTTATTAAAAAAGCACTGTCTCCCTCATCTAACACACCCGATTAAACTCGTCGGCTCATTAGTAGAGACTTTAAGACCGGAAGTGGGTCAGAAAAGATAAAGAGTATATAAAAAACACACACAATGCGTGTCAGATCCGCGTCACGTTCAGCAGCGGCAGCTCTTAAAGTAATAGCAGCAAATAACCTAATAACCAGCTGCTGTGATGTCTATTAATCAAAGATCAAAAGAAAAAAGAGGAAATCAATAACTCCTGGAGCTTTAAGGATTCATCTATATTTAATTTAGTGTTTGATACTTAATTATTTCCTTTATATAAATTGTTTCCTACTTGCTGAAGGCCACAGGTAAATATGACATTTATTATAATGGGTTTATGTGAAGATTGTTTTAAGTTCACTTAAAACAGAAGTTGTTGTTTTAAACAACTAAGAAGAAGTCTAATAAATGTCAATAAAAATTGATAGCTCTCAATTATACTGTAATGTTAGTATAGTCAACATTACAAATAATCAATGGTTAAATATTAGGAAAAAAAGAACAATTTCCTAGAGACATCAGTAGTACTGGTATCAGTGATTCTCACCTTCAGTCATAAAAACAAAAAGATTCCATTAAACAAATATTAAAAATATACTGTCTTTATGCTGTTTCTACATTAATTTAGACATTGAATGTGAAATGATTGCAATATAAAAGTATATTTAAAATCTTTAATGGTAGGTGGGATTAATCGCGATTAATTTCAGAAAAAATTAATTAATTTTTTTAATCGATTGAGAGCACTAATGCATATATATATAAAAGAAACCCTAAATCTAATGTGACAGTCTAAGATCTTATTGTTTATTAAAGCAATAAGCCCCAAGAAGCCATGGTTTACAGTGAATTTATAACAGATCACTGACATCAGTAGTACTGGTATCAGTGATTCTCACCTTCAGTCATAAAAACAAAAAGATTCCATTAAACAAATATTAAAAATATACTGTCTTTATGCTGTTTCTACATTAATTTAGACATTGAATGTGAAATGATTGCAATATAAAAGTATATTTAAAATCTTTAATGGTAGGTGGGATTAATCGCGATTAATTTCAGAAAAAATTAATTAATTTTTTTAATCGATTGAGAGCACTAATGCATATATATATAAAAGAAACCCTAAATCTAATGTGACAGTCTAAGATCTTATTGTTTATTAAAGCAATAAGCCCCAAGAAGCCATGGTTTACAGTGAATTTATAACAGCAGGTGGTTGTGGTTCTGGCTTGTGATTGGTCGAGCCCACAGCAGCGCTGCGTCTCACCTTGTGTGGGTGTGAGCGAGCCGTCTGTGAGTGTGTAGTTAACGACTCTGATCAGAAGCGTCATGTCTTCATGTCTGGCGCAGTGTGGCGCCCTCTGTCTGCCGCTCACGTATGCGTCGTGATGCAGACGCTTGACGCGCTCCACCACCGACTGCGCAGCCGCCTCCAGACTGCTCTGCTGCGCCAGCTCCGCTGCTACCATGGCAACGATCTCCTGCCGGGGAACATGGGAAATGTAGTCCACAGATATTGAAACGATGCTGCAGGACGGATGTGACTAGAATATTCAGCAACCGAAATTATTGTATAAGTGAAAAGACAGAATAAATTGTACTGAACAATTACGTGACGCGATCAAATAGAGGAACGCACTAATGCAGCAAACACGAATGCAGTGTGGAAGCATTTAAAAGACGCAAAAATCATAAGCACCGACAGCGAGAGACTGTTTAGTACTGCACTGCATGATGTCTCCGATGAGAAGAGGAAGGGGGTTTGGTTGTTGCTGGTTACTGTATGATGATTGAAATCACCAAATGGCCTTAAACAATTAGTAAATAAACTGCAGAACGTTGTTTTTTCTTATGCACGCATGAACTGCATGCATTCTGACAGCGCTGCACGAACTCACGGTGCCAGAGTCCAAAGCACGAGGAAAATCTGCGCTGAAACAGTGTTATTCGTCAGTTGCTCAGTAATTAATTTTTTTTTTCTTCTTGTTTAACTGAAGAAAGTTCTGGCACATCCAACTGTTAATTTCATCAATGCATTGGCAGAGGGAGTCAATGGGGCTGTATTCATTTGGCGATAAGGCTAGGTAAACCTGGGTATCATCAGCATAGCTGTGATAGGCAATTTGATTCTTTCTCATTATTTGACTTAGTGGGAGCATATACAGGCTAAACAAGAGCGGTGCAAGAATTGAGCCTTGTGGGACTCATGAACTGCATGCATTCTGACAGCGCTGCACGAACTCACGGTGCCAGAGTCCAAAGCACGAGGAAAATCTGCGCTGAAACAGTGTTATTCGTCAGTTGCTCAGTAATTAATTTTTTTTTTCTTCTTGTTTAACTGAAGAAAGTTCTGGCACATCCAACTGTTAATTTCATCAATGCATTGGCAGAGGGAGTCAATGGGGCTGTAGTCATTTTGAGATATGGCTACGTAAATCTGGGTATCATCAGCATAGCTGTGATAGGCAATTTGGTTCTTTCTCATTAATTGACTTAGTGGGAGCATATACAGGCTAAACAAGAGTGGTGCAAGAATTGAGCCTTGTGGGACTCCACTTAGACTGTCTGTCTCTCTCCTATACTCACATAATAACATCTCCCTTCTAAGTATGTCCTGATCCATTTGATTACCATCCCAGAAAGCCCGACACAGTTTTCCAGTCTCTCTAGTAGTATGTTATGATCGACTGTGTAATTGTAATTGATTTTGTCTTTGAAAAGCAAGACAAAACAGTAACAAGCACATTTTGGCTATTTAATTTATGCAACGGTGAAAAAAAAAAAGGCAAAATACATGGGGGAAAATGCGAAAAAAAACGTGTTCGGTATTTGGCCTTTGGCCCAGTATTTAATTTTATTTGGCTTCGGGCCAAGAATTTTAATTTCGGTGCATCCCTAGACTTGACTTTATTTCAGCAGCTCTTACATTCTAACAGATCTTCAGCGATAATTCATGTTATCACCTGGTTGACCTGCTCCGGTCCATGAGCCGACTCCAGGGCTTTTATCAGCCCCTCTGACATCAGCAACAGGAAGCCCGTCACGCCCTCCAGCGATTGGCCGCCGTGGATCTCAGGCTCCGAGATGATTGGCTTTTGCTTCGCTGCACTGAATATAGACACGTTATCAAAAACATTTACATCATTTAAAATTGTTGGAGTTCATATTAAGAATTTTGTGCCATTTTACTGAAGAAGCTTTTTGCTTTACCAGTTTTCATAATGCTAATGTATAAGATAAACATAATAAATCAGGAAACTAAATATGGTCAAATAAACTCATATTTTAATCGCGATCATGATTTCTGCTTCTCTTGATTTATTAAGCATAATTGTCTGCTGGTTATTTATCCTGAAGGGGTTTCATTGTAATTTAGCATATTTACATTATGTTGCACTGCTAACAAGCTTCCACAAGCATTAATGGTTGCCAGATGTCAAGAGTTTAAATCCCCAATCAGAGCTTTTCTCTTAAATTGATATATTTTCTGCCCAGTGGTTTACTTAATCTTCCCAACCTGGCAACCATTCGCTTGCGAATTACAGAAAAAGGGCTAATGATCTGAAAACACCAGCAATCATGAATCTCTATTGAGATATTCTGCTCAAATAATAGTGTCACACAGCCAGTCTGTTTTCTTTCACGCGGTCGTTTGTGTGAGTGTGTGTGAGTGTGTGTGTGAGAGAGTATCAGAAACACACCTGAGCACGTCGATGTCTGTGTAGTTGAATTTGACTTTATAGTCTCCGATCCGTCGGGTGCTGCTCTGACCTGAGATCAGTCCAGTCTGCCTCAAGCGCACCGGATCCAGACCTGAGACACACACAATCATTCACACACTCGACATGCTCAGCAGAGACACAATCAACACTTATTGCTAAAACATAATAAAAAATAAAAACGTCCAGCATGAGCATGTCATTCACCATGCTGAGGTGTCAGAAACCACGTAAACACAAGATGGCACCAAAGAACCTCTGAACCAGTTCATATATGACGATTGAGTCAGAGTCATATTACTGTCTGAGTCACAGCCCTGCTGATGTGAATAATATCAATCATGTTGAGAAGACAAAGAGAAAAGCACTCACTACTCCTCTTCATTACTGACAAGTTATGTGAATAGAGTAACAGTGCATTTTAGAACTGCTGATTAAATGAAATAAAACCAAAATCACCATATGGCTTAAAGCCATTATCAAATAGCAAAGGTGGTGATTTAATGAAATAAATAGATGGGCCGTGTGTTTTAGAGTGAAACATGTCACTGTGTTCATTTACACATGAGCAGCTCATGATTTCAGAGCACCTCGGTTCACGTTAAAATATTAGTACTGTCATTGTGTTGTAATGTAAAATAAAATTATTTTTATTTCTATGATTATTTTTGTGTAATACTTGTTTTTATAGTAAAATATTACAATTTTTTTTATTGTTTTTATTCAGTCATTTTTATATTTTTAAGCCTTTCACATTTCGCAAAATGCACATTTTGATTGCATATTGTATTTAATGCATTAGCATGTGTGTGTGTGTGTGTGTGTGTGTGTGTCTGACCCAGCTGGGCGAGTCTGGACAGCTCGTCGTCGTTGTCGGTTGTGTGCGCTCGTCCGATCTGGATCACCTGGTTCTGACCATCACTGGTGGTCTTACAGAGAAGAACCCGGTTGGTTCCTGAAACACAGAAATGAAGAAAACAACGACACGATCAGCACACAGAGTTTGATTCCTCAGATCGTGTGTGTGTGTGTGTGAGAGTGTGTGTTAGTGTGTCTGAGAGAGAGTGTGTGTGTGTGTGAGAGAGAGTGTGTGTTAGTGTGTCTCAGAGAGAGTGTGTGTCAGAGAGAGTGTGTGTGTGAGAGTGTGTGTTAGTGTGTGTGTGTGAGTGAGTGTGTGTGAACATACCGACATTAGCGATGTAGAGTTTATTATTGAGTATCAGAGCGACTATGGCAGTGGCTCCTCCTGAAACCTCCTGCTCCAAAGCCTTCAGCCGCTCCGCCATCTTCTGAGTCTGAGCTGACAGATAGACGCCCTGAGAGACAGACAGACAGACAGACAGCAGACAGACAGACAGAGAGACAGACAGACAGACAGACAGACAGCAGACAGACAGCAGACAGACAGACAGACGGACAGACAGAGGGACAGATAGAGGGACAGAGAGACAGACAGACAGACAGCAGAC